ACAGAACCTTATGCTCATTCAACTATATATATATACATATTTTTTCATGCCATGAAAATACAAACTAAGCATAGGCTTCAACTGTATTGATAACATCATGCTAATTGGACACAAATAGGAAGTGGTAAGCACCATAGTTGTCTGAGATAAATTACAGGAGTCTGCCCTTATCCATGGGGAATATGTTCCAAGACCCCCATTGGATGCCTGAAGCTACAGATAGTAATGAACCCTATATATATTTCTCCTATACATACATATCTATGATAGAGTTTAATTTATAAATTATGTGGAGTAAGAGATTAACAATAACATAATAATATAGCATTAACAACTAATTAATAATAATATAGAATAATTATAATGTTATACTGTAATAATAGTTATGTGAATGTGCTCTCTCTCTTAAAATACCTGACTGTACTGTGCTCACCCTTCTTGTGGTAATGGGAGATGTTAAAATGACTATGTGATGAGATGAAGGAAGTGACTGATGCAGGCATTGTAACATAGCACTAGGCTACCATTGACCTTCTGACGATACATCAGAAGAAGGACCATCTGCTTCTGGTGATCCTGGATCATGAGCCACGATGATGTTGATGGCTGGATGTCAGAAGCAGATGATGTAGATGATTAATGGGCTGGTTATTGATACAGTGTGGATGCTCTGGACAAACAGATGATTTGCATGTTGGGCAGAGAGGGGTGGCAAGAGATTATACCATGCTATTCACAACGGTACACAACTTAAAATTTATGAATTATTTATTCCTGGAAATTTCTTTTTCTTTTTTTTAAGACAGGGTTTCACCATGTTGGTCAGGCTGGTCTTGAACTCCCAACTTCAGGCGATCCACCCGCCTTGGCCTCCAAAGTGCTTGGATTATAGGCATGAGCCACTGCACCCGGCCATTTCTGGAAATTTCTATTAATATTTTCAGATCACAGTTGAGTGCAGGTAACTAAAGCCCGGGAAAGTAAAACCTCAGACAAGATGGGAACTGTAAGGCCGGCTGCCTTGCAGAGGGTTAAACGGACTCATCCATCTTTCTCCGCGTCTGATAACTACATCATCACCTGGGCTCATTATCTGGCCTTGCCACACGGCTTCTCCACACCGCCTCCGCATACCAGACCCAAACCCACATTCAGCACTAAATTATGCATTTAACCCCTAGCCCACTGTTGATAAACCCTGCAGGAAAATTTTTAAAGAAGCCCCATCAGACCCTGCCCAGTAGCACTCTGCTCTGTATGCCCCCTGAAGGCCCACTTACCTAAGGTCCTGCCCGCCTACCCATGACCACTAGCTCCAGGCATTTCCTGCTTCTTAATAGCCAATAAGACTGCCTTCGCTTTGTTTCCCCAACAGCCAATCAAGGCCCACTTACCCAAAGTCCCACCCGCCTACCAATGGCAACTAGTTTCAGGTACTGCCCGCTTCCTGACAGCCAATAAAATTGCCTTTGCTTTGTTTCCCCAATAGCCAATCAATCGCCTTCTCTCCCTATAAAACCCCATGACCGACAGCCGGGTGCGACTTATTTGGCCCCTTCCTGGACCACAGAACCTCACCCGGGAGCTAAATAAATTAACTTCTCATTTTCTTATACTTGCCTCAGTTTCCTCATTTTACCTTGGCAATAAACCTTACAGGAACTACTGTACGTAAAGATTCATGGTCCTTCCACATTGTTAATATTTTCTGGATTTCAGTGTTTTAGGGATCTCTTTAGATTGTATAGGCAGAATACTTACACGTGGAAATACTCCTCCAACGGCAGCCAGATGCGGTGGCCCATGCCTGTAATCCCAGCACTTTGGGAGGCCAAGGCAGGTGGATCACTAGGTCAGGAGTTTGAGACTAGCCTGGCCAACATGGTGAAACCCCGCCTCTACTAAAAATACAAAAATTAGCTGGGCGTGGTGGAGCATGCCTGTAATCCCAGCTACTTGGGAGCCTGAGGCAGTAGAATCGCTGAGCCGAGATAACGGCCGTTGCACTCCAGCCTGGACAACTGAGCGAGATTCCATCTCAAAAAAAAAAAACAAAAAAGAAATACTTTTCCATCTCTCTATTGGAAGGTTGTCAATGGTGAGTTGTGTCCAGAGCAAGAGAAGGCTGCTGTGATGTTGTGAAAAAATATGTTTTTTGGTCTTCATTACTGTTTCCTGGCATACAACTCCCCAGATCCTTGGAATTTCCGAAGTGATGTCTTCTTGTATGCTAATAATTGACTGGGGGCTAGTAACTGCTAGGTAGCTTCAGGGTGGAGGCTGGTGACCGGAAACACCAAGGCAAGATTACGAGTTGAGACTTTCAACATCACCCCCACTACCCTATGGGGAGGGCAGAGGGGCTGAAGGTTAAGTTGATTACCAGTGGTCAATGGTTTAATCAATTAGGCCTACATCATGAAGCCTTCATAAAAAAACAAAAGGACACCGGTGCAGTGTTCATGCCCATAGTCCCAGCACTGTGAGGTGCCAAGGTGGGAAGATCACTTGAGCCCAGGAGTTCAAGACCAGCCTGGGCAACATAGGGAGACCTCCTCTCTACAAAAAACAAAACAAAAACAAAACTATATATATACACATATAGTTTTTTCATACTACATATATATACTATATATATTTTTATATACATATATAATATATATAGTATCATATATGTAGTATATTAAATATATATTTTTACATATACAAAATATATATTTTTATATACTATATATGTATATAAAATATATATACATATATTTTAAATATATGTTAATATACTATATATGTATGTAAAAAATATATTTTATATATATATATATATATAAAACAAATTAGCTAAATTTGGTGATGCATCTATAGTCCCAGCTACTTGGGAGGCTGACGTGGGAAAACCACTGGAGCCTGGGAAGTAAAGGCTGTAGTGAGCCAAGATCGTGCCACTGCACTCCATCCTGGGTGACAGAGCAAGACCCTGTCTCAAAAACAAAACAAACAAACAAATAAACCTAAAAGTACAGGGTTTGGAGAGCTTCTGGATAGCTAAACACGTGGAGGTTCATGGAAGGTGTGTGCCCAGGAAGGGCCTAGAAGCTCTGTACCCCTTCCCTCATTTCTCACCCTCATGCATCTCTTCATCTGTATATTTTTTAATATCCGTTATAATAAATTGGTAAACATAAATAGCGTTTCCCTGAGTTCTGTGAACTGCTCCAGCAAGTTAATTGAACCCAAAGAGGGGTAATCAAACCCAAAGAGGGGATCATGGAAACTCCAATTTGAAGCCAGTCCATTAGAAGTTCTGGAGGCTGGACTTGTGACTGGCTGGGGGGAGCTTGAGGAATGAGCCCTGAACCTGTGAGATCTGATGCTATATTCAGAGGTGTCTGAACCAGAATGACTCCCTCTTCAATAGCAGCTGGGTAAAATGAGGCTGAGACTTGCTGAGCTACATTCCCAGGAGGTTAGGCATTCTTAGTCACAGGATGAGACAGGAGGCCAGCACAAGATACAGATCACAAAGACACTGCTGATAACAGGATGTAGTAAAGAAACTGGCCAAAACCTGCCAAAACCAAGATGGTGACAAAGTAACCTCTGGTCATCCTCATTGCTCATGATATGTTAATTATAACGTACTCACATGCTAAAAAACACTCCTGCCAGCACCATAACAGTTTATAAATGCCATGGCAATATCTAGAAGTTACCCTACATGGTCTAAAAGGAAGAGGGGCATGGTTGCTTATGCCTATAATCTCAGCACTTTGGGAGCCTGAGGCAGGTAGATCACCTGAGGTCAAGAGTTCGAGACTAGCCTGGCCAACATGGTGAAACCCCATCTCTACTAAAAATACAGAATTAGCTGGCCATGGTGGTGTGTGCCTGTAGTCCCAGCCACAGGGGAGGCTGAGACAGCAGAATCACTTGAACCCAGGAAGTGGAAGTTGCAATGAGCAGAGACTGTACTACTGCACTCCAGCCTGGGTGACACAGCAAGACTCAATCTCAAAAAATAAAAGTAAAGTAGGCTGAGCATAGTGCCTCATGTCTGTAATCCCAGCACTTTGGGAGGCCAAGGTGAGTGGATGATGAGGTCAGGGGTTTGAGACCAGCCTGGCCAATATGGTGAAACCCTGTCTCCACGAAAAATGCAAAAATTAGCTAGGTGTGGTGGCACATGCCTGTAGTCCCAGCTACTCGAGAGGCTGAGGCAGGAGAATCACTTGAACCCAGGAAGCAGAGGTGGTAGTGAGCCTAGACTCCACCATTGCACTCCAGCCTGGGTGATAGTGCAAGACTCTGTCTCAAAAAAATAAATAAATAAAATAAAATAAAAGTAAGAGAACTCTCAGTTCCAGGAAGTCCCACACACATCCTGGAAAACTAATGAATAATCCACACCTTGTTCAGCATATGATCAAGAAATAACCATAAAAATAGCCAAGAAGCAGACTTCAGGGCTGCTCTGCTTATGGAGTAGTCATTCTTTTGTTTCTTTACTTCTCTAATAAATTTGCTTTCAATATAAAAATGAGAGTGTTTTAATTTGGGGGGGGGGTCTGTTTTGCCTTCCAGCTGTGCCTGCTTCTTAGGCCCTAGGAACTGCATGCTTTCCTGGCCCTGTTCTCAAAGGGCTCTACTCCGAAGCCAGTCATACAATTAAGAAACTTAAAAACTGGCAAGTCAAAAACTCCTAAAACTACTGGATCTTATTCTGTCTGTTCAACTGTATTTATGTGTCCTGTGTGTTGTTTTACTATCAAAACATATGAAAGAGCTCTGATAAATTTGTTTAAAAATAATAAATGTTTAAACATTTTGTCCAAAAAATAACAATTTTAATGCCTTTTAGTTCACATGACTTTAGTAATTTTGGAAAATAAAGACAGTTTTAAAGATTATTGGTAAATTAAAATGTCTTCAAGATTTAGACATTTGATCTAAACAAGGCGGGTGACATTAGGTTTGCTAGATGTTTTATTTTTTGTTTTTATTTTTTAAATATGGAATGTTCCATGAATTTGCATGTCATCCTTGCACAGGGGCCTGCTAATCTTCTCTGCATCATTCCAATTTTAGTATACGTCCTGCCAAAGCAAGCACTGCTAAATGCTTACAGGTCATAAATTGCTCCTTGACTTTTTTTTTTTTTTTTTTTTTTTGAGACGGAGTTTCGCTCTTGTTACCCAGGCTGGAGTGCAATGGCGCGATCTCGGCTCACCGCAACCTCCGCCTCCTGGGTTCAGGCAATTCTCCTGCCTCAGCCTCCTGAGTTGCTGGGATTACAGGCACGTGCCACCATGCTCAGCTAATTTTTTGTATTTTTAGTAGAGACAGGGTTTCACCATGTTGACCAGGATGGTCTCGATCTCTTGACCTCGTGATCCAACCGCCTCGGCCTCCCAAAGTGCTGGGATTACAGGCTTGAGCCACCGCGCCCGGCCGCTCCTTGACTTTTGAAAATTGTTCAACTTACCTGCTTTGAAGCCATTAGATTTTAGGTAAGGCCTGGGGACATATGGAGTTAGCCATGCCCCTAGCTATGTTGGAAAGAGTCGAATCTTATCTTCACTTCTGTCTGGTATCCTAGGTTTCACACCTGGTACATAATTTTGTGTGTATGTGTATGATGGAGTTTCACTCTTGTTGCCCAGGCTGAAATGCAATGGTGCGATCTCGGCTCACTGCAACCTGAACCTCCCGGCTTCAAGCATTCTCCTGCCTCAGACTCCCAAGTAGCTGGGATTACAGGCATGCCACCATACCCAGCTATTTTTTTGTATTTTTAGAAGAGAAGGGGTTTCTCCTTGTTGGTCAAGTTGGTCTCGAACTCCCAACCTCAGGTGATCTACCCTTCTCAGCTTCCCAAAGTGCTGAGATTACAGGCATTAGCTACTGTGCCCAGCTGTGGTACATAATTAAAATTGCTTACTTTAGTAGAGACAGGGTTTCACCATGTTGACCAGGATGGTCTCGGTCTCTTGACCTTGTGATCCACCCGCCTCGGCCTCCCAAAGTGCTGGGATTACAGGCTTGAGCCACCGCGCCCGGCCTATATATATATATATTATTTAAAAAAAAAAAATTCTGTATGTGAACCTGTTAGTTAAAGTTAAAGGGATATTATACAATTATTCAGTATTTTCATAAATCAAACATTGGAATAAAAGCACAACAGGGTTTTCTTACACTGCTTTTTAACAGAAAATTATAAAGGATTATAAAAGGTTTATGAGAATCTTAACTTATGGTCAAACTGATTAAGATTGGATAGATTTGTCTATAAGGCTTTATTTAAAATTGGGTTCGATAATAATCATATACTAATGCAAAGGTGAAATTTGGCTTTCTCTCTTGAACAGGATTTTTTTTTTTTTTTTTTGAGATGGAGTTTCACTCTGTTCCTAGGCTGGAGTGCAGTGGTGTGATCTCGGCTCACTGCAACTTCTGCCTTCTTGGTTCAAGCGATTCTCCTGCCTTAGCCTCCTGAGTAGCTGGGACTACAGGCACATGCCGCCACTCCCAGCTTATTTTTTGTATTTGTAGTAGAGATAGGGTTTCACTGTGTTGCCCAGGCTGGTCACAAACTCCTGAACTCAGACAATCCACCCACCTTGCCCTCCCAAAGTGCTGGGATTATAGGCATGAGCCACTTTGCCTCGCCTGAACAGGATTTTTATGGAATATTGAAAAAAATGAAAGATTTTGTTTGCCTTTTAAATAAACTACAAGAAAAAGAAGGGAGATAAAATAGATTATTTGGAAAGCTAAGTCTTTCCTCTAGCAATGAGTAAAGGCTTTCAACTTTTAAAAATCTTTGAGTTATCATTTTGGCTAAATGAATGGCTTATGGTGACCTGAAATTTTATTTTATCAGAATTTTAAACTTTTTATATTTGACAAACTCCAAAATAAAATTCTAAATTATATCTTTTGGTGATCAGGTTAATCCTTTAGATATTAGGTCCCCCTAAAGTCCAAAAATGACATATTTGGCTTATTTGGTATACTAAAATTATACAGGAAGCATTGTCAAATATAAAATGGTGTTTGGCTTTCTTTGAGCTGTATTTGTATAAATATGTTGTTGGTATGTGTTCCAAAATTATGGAAAACCCCTTTAATTCTGAAAAGACATATTGTACATTATCAGTAATAATGATTGTTAAATACAATTTTTGTATGCCACAGAAGTAACCCAAATTCCTAGTTAATTATGTCTTTAACTGTGGCTACCCTAAGACTTTGTCATCCACAGACAACTGTCTTGTTTTGATTCTCTTTAAAAGATGGTTTATAATCAGCTATAGGACTGACAGGTACTCTTAAATGCAGCTCTCTGATAACTTTGGAAAGTATGCCTTTAAAATAGAGAGAAGGAACTTACAAGACATTCTTGGAAAACGTATGATTATAAGTATCAAGCAAAACAGGAATTAATTACACAGACTAAACTAATGGAAGACCAAAATTATCTTTTCATGATGTTTCACTTAACATGTTGCTCATTCTTTCTGCTTTGTTTTTCAGAGTCAAGACCACTTTTCTTTGGAGCTTTCAACAATTGTGTAAAGTACACTCCTATGAGCAAAATTTTGAGCATCTTTCTGTCTACCTGATTTTACCAGAATTTGGAAACTATTTGTGAGTATTCTTAACTTAGAGCAACATAGTTATTTGCATAAATACAATAAGAATCTGTTTTCTTTTATAAAAGGACACAATTGGAGACAGATTATTTTACCAAGGCTTTGACTGGGATGGTGTGCTTTCAGATACAGACAGCTTTAAAGAATCAAAGCTGACTTACAGAGCCAAAAAAAAAAAAAAAAGCCACTTGAGAAAACTAGCCTCATACCTTGTCTATGCAATCCCTGTACAGGGTTCCTGATCTATAATAAGTAAAGAATGTACTTTCTGGCCGGGCGCGGGTGGCTCAAGCCTGTAATCCCAGCACTTTGGGAGGCCGAGGCGGGTGGATCACGAGGTCAAGAGATCAAGACCATCCTGGTCATCATGGTGAAACCCCGTCTCTATTAAAAATACAAAAAATTAGCTGGGCATGGTGGTGCGTGCCTGTAATCCCAGCTACTCAGGAGGCTGAGGCAGGAGAATTGCCTGAACCCAGGAGGCGGAGGCTGCGGTGAGTCGAGATCGAGCCATTGCACTCCAGCCTGGGTAACATGAGTGAAACTCCGTCTCAAAAAAAAAAAAAAATCTAGATCAGTATTCTAATTCTGGGCATGTATTGGAATTGGCTAGCAACCCCATAACAACTTGGTTCCAACAATAGCCAAGTTCATTAAAAGCCTTCTTATTCAGTTTACTGGGATAATTTTACGTATTTGCTTTACTGCTATGGAATATATTGCTGTTGTACTTTTCACGTAGAAATGCAAAATAAGCCTACTCAACATTTTCTTAAATTGAACATTTATTAATCTTCTACATAGCAACTTTTGTCAGAACAGAAGCTGATATCTGAAAGAGTTATGAATGGCTTTCACCATAACTGACTGAGCTCCTTTCTACCCTGCATACAAGAGACCCTAATAATTAGGCAAAAATATCATCACCCCTATTCAGCCTGAAGAAGTTACAGAGGATAGATCTACAACCCTTAGACACTTAAGGATCCCTTCATAAAAGTCGGGGGGAATATGTCAGAGGTGTTCAAACAAGAACAATTCCATCTTGAATAGGGGCTAGGTAAAATAAGAGTAGGACCTGCTGGGCTGCTTTCCCAGGAGGCTTGGCATGCTTAGTCACAGGATGAGACAGGAGGTCAACACTAGATACAGGTCACAAAGACCCCACTGATCCCACTGATAAAACAGGATGCAGGAAAGAAGCCGGCCAAAACCTGCCGAAACCAAGATGGCAACGAAAGTGACCTCTGGTCATTCTCACTGTTCATTATATGTTCATTTTAATGCATTAGCTTGCTAAAAGACACTCCCACCGGTGCCATAACACTTTACAAATGCCATGTCAATGTTGGGAAGTTACCCTGTATGGTCTAAAAGGAAGAGGAACCCTTAGTTCTCGAAATTCTCTCCCTTTCCCAGAAAACTAATGAATAACCCACTCCTTGTTTAGCATATAATCAAGAAATAACCATAAAAACAGCCACCCAGTGGCCCTCAGGCCTGCTCTGTTTATGGAGTGGCCATTCTTTTGTTTCTTCTTAACTTGCTTTCACTTTACTCTATGGACTTGCCCTAAATTCTTTCCTGCATAAGATCCAACAAGAACCCTCTCAGGGTCTGGACCAAGACCACTTTCTGGTAACACTATCTCCAGGTAGATATGTCAGAAGACACCCAGCTGGTGACTGCTGCTTGGTGTATGGTGAAATCCCTACATACAAATTTGGTCACATGAGTCTTCTGTGTTGACTGTTGTTGTTAAGTGAGAGAATAGAAAAGGCACCTTGAGTGTTGTTTCCCCCACCCT